ACTGAAGATTAAAGACTAGACACAGGCTGGGGAGATAGCTCAGTAGAATAAGTGCTTGCCTGGCAAGCGCAAGGGCCTGAGTTCAATCCCTAGTTCTGCCAAAAAAAAATAAGGACTAGACACAATTACTAGGTACAGTAAAAATCTGCTGAAAATATTTCTGAGGTAAGAAGGCACCACATACCTGTTCAACTAAGAAAACCACCCTTACAACCCAGGATTTTATTATGTAGGACCTAGAACACTTAAGCTGCCAATTGGGTGCTGAATGGCAGAACAGCATCCCCAGTTTATGCCCTGAACTCATAGGGAATGGGTTCTAACAACTCAGGCTCCTTCCCATTGGTCCTCACAACGTGTGCTTCTCAGAGAGGGGCAGGCTGACACTTGAGTTGAACCCAGGTATCTTTCTCTTTGGCTTTCTTCTTTTTCTGATCCTTTTCCTTGACGTGTTTCAGGAAGCTATCATGACTTTTTGAGTGTTTAATATGCTCAATATGCACATTAATCCTCTTGGCAAGTATCTTGCCCTTAACTTGCTTGTTTACAACAGTGCCATCAGCATGCTGGGTAATATTGTAGACTCTTCCCGTTTTGCCATGGTAACATTTGTGAGGCATTCCTTTTTGCACAGTACCCATTCCCTTAATGTCAACAATATCACCCTTTTTGTAGATTCGTATGTATGTGGCCAAAAGAACAGCCTCATAGTTTCTAAAAGGCCTGGAGAACATATACTGGTTCCTTACTTCTTGCCCTTTGTGTTAGTCATTTTAGCAAATTATTAGAAGATAGTGGTTCTGGCCGAAAGGCTGTCTTCAGTTTCATTTAAGCAGTTTTGCCAGCTTCCAGTGAAATTTTTAATTTCGTGGATATCTATTTGAATCTGTCTTGTGTATTGTGTTTTTTTTGGTTTTTTGGTTTTTTTTTTTTTTTTTTTTTGTGGAACCGGGGATTGAACTCAGGCCCTTGCGCTTGCCAGGGAAGCGCTTTATTCCACTGAACCATCTCCCCGGCCCCTATTGTGTTTCTTTTGTAAATTGATCATTTATGGTTTCCATCTTTTTCCTATCAGTTTTTTTTAAATCTATCTCTACTGTAGACTTGCTGAGGAATTCATGTAAAATGTTGACATTTCTTTTTTTACCTGAGAGATAATATCTGACTTCCTTTATAGCCTCATGGATTTGTTTCTTTCCTTTACTTGCTGTCATTTCAGAAATTTCAGATGCGTATCTTCCATCTTCCTCTATCTCATTGTCTCCTGGACTTGTGCAAGGTGGGCTGGAGGTCTGAGGTTCCATTTTGCTTCTGCATCTTGTTATTTTCTATTTCAGAAGTTTGGGGGTTTTTTGTTTGTTTATCCTTGTAAGTTTTTTAGTAAGTAGCTTCATCACTGGTATCAAGGCTTCTCTGGCAAGGTTTGTTCTTCAGGGATCTCTTCTTGTGTAGGTTCTTGGTTTGTTTCTATTCCAAGATCCCACCTTTCCAGTTAGAGTGAAATGTTTGCATCTCTCTGGCTCAGTCCCCAGGCCGTTGGTGCTGGAGTGTGGTAAGGTTATTGCCCCAGAACTTCCCGGCATTATTACAGAAAAGAGAACAACTGATTATAACAGATGTGACATCCCAGCTAAAGTCGTATAATTAAGGGCCAGCCAGATAGCTCAACAGATTAAAGCACCTGTTTAGGCAGATGCAGGGCCTGGGGTTTGATCCCAGGCCTACCACACCAGCCCCACCCCGAGGGTATGCTGAGATGGCGATTGAGACTGGGCGTGGTAGCATGCATCTGTAATCCCAGCACTTGGGAGGGTATAAACAGGAGAATTAACTACAAGTCCGATCTAGTAGTCAGACCCTGAAAATCCTGTAGACCCTTCCCTAAAATACAGGGGGGAAAAAATAAATAAATAAATAAATAAATAAATACTTTCTTTAAAAATAAAGTAGTATAATTAGCAATAACAGTCATTTAGCACAGATTGGAAAATGACAAATTGTGGTATTAATTTTGTACCTTAAATCATAAGAACAAAATCCACAGTTATACAACTAAACCGATTGTGAATTGGGAACTTGTATGTGAAGTATTTCCCCTTCGTAGAGTGGTTTTACCCTGTGGTGGGGAAATTTAAGAAGATGGTGGAGATAACTGAAAAATAAAGTAGAAGCCAGACTTGAGGATGAAGGGTGATGATGCAATTTCTGGAAAACTAGAGAAGAGGACAGAAGAGAAAAATAAAGGACTAAACAAAGGATTATTGAAGTTGATCAGAAAAATTAGATTATTTACTCACATGAAAATATTAAATCTTGAGAGGCAGTGAGGAAATGAAAGAAGACAAATAGAACAAAAATGTAGTTAAAAGACAAAAAATAGGAAACAAAAACCAGCAAAAAAGAAAGACAAAATAAAATTTAAAAGAAAAATGATTCCTCTGGAAAGGAAAGGAAAACAAAAAACAAAACTGACTGATCAACAGGGAGGGAGCAGTTAGTGTCCTCAGAATTGGCTGCTAGACTGTAGCGTCTTGTTTGGAGGAAGGCCGAAGAAGCAGACCTTAGATCCCTTAGATCCCTTAGATCCCACCATATATCCTGTGTGGCTTGACTTAGTCGCACTATTTCAGTGTAACCTTTTTTTCTTAAGATTCCAAGTGTGGCAGGCAGGTGGGCTGAGTGGCTGTTTTTATAAAGTCTTTTATCTGTGTTTTGATCTATTAGTTTCATATTTCAAGTGGATTTTAGTTTCAGGGTTTTTATCCCTCCCCTTCCAGATACCTATATTTTAGTTAATTTCTCTTGAGTAGCTTTGAATGAGGCTCCTCTTCTACTCAGCCTGTTGCCAGATCTGATACTTTTCTTATTTTATTTTCATGAAGATTTATTATCAACATTTTAAAGGTGTTACATATTTTTAAAATTCTTCCAATTGTTACCATTTTTACACAGTGCTTTAATTAAAGAAATGAAGGGGCCTGCCCATTAGCTCAGGTGTTCAAGTGCCTGCTGAAACAAAGCAGGCTCAGGATGCTGTGGTTCCATCTCCTCATACTCAAGCCAAACCAGACCTGCCCTAAAGGCATCCTGAGCGGCACCATCCCCCCCAAAAAAATTTTTTTTAATGAAAAAATTAGTCCCTACCCTCCTACTGGAGATTGAACCTAGGGCCTTCACACTGAGCTACAGTCCCAGCCCTTTTATTTTTTATATTAAGTATCTCAATCTAACAGTTGTTTGTTTGTGTGTGGTACCAGGGATCAAACTGGGGACCTCTTGCTTGCTTATGATGCTGAGCTATCTCCCTGACCCTCAGTCCAGCAGTTCTTCAGTGGCTTTTTGTTTTTCAGGCCTGTGACACTTGAATGTGTTGAGCATTATCTTGTAGAACCTCCCTCAAGTTGGGTTTGTCTGATGTTTTTCTCATGGCTGGAATGAAGCAGTGCGTTTGGGGCGAGATTGCTGTTGAAATGCTGCTGCATCCTTCATACAACAGGTCAAAGCCTGTATGTTGCTGTTTTTCTGTTGGTACTGGTGACCAAATGGTTAAGGTGCTGTCAGGTCCTATAAAATAATTGCCTTTACCTTTGTAATGAATAAAATATCTTATGGGAAAGAGACTATAAAAGTCCCATTTAACCGCAGATTTTTTGCTCCTTAGTTTTAACATCTTTCAATCGATTTTTCATTCGACCATTATTACTGTAGTATTTTCCTAGTGGTCATTCCTTTTTTTCTCTCATTTATTCTGCATGATTTAGAATTCATTGGAATTCTGAAAGGAAGTGCTATATTTTCTCTAGCTTACTTACGTCGTTATTGATTTAGAAATATTTATCGTGTTCTGTGGATTAAAATCCATTACCTGAGCCAGGCATGCTGGCACAGGCCTATAATTTCAGCACACAGGAGGCAGAGGAAGGAGGATGGTTGGTAGTTTGAGACCAGCCTGGGCTACAGAGTGAGCTCAAGGCAGCCTGAATTGCATAGCGAGACCCTGTCTTAAAAGATTAAATAAAATGAAATCCATTACCTTCATTGTGCTCACACTGCTCCATGTGTGGGCGTGGGAGCCCTAAAGGTTGACATTTGTGTTTCAGCAAGCTTCCTTTGGTTTTTGAGTCCTTCCTTCTGCAGCACAGTATGTCCCAGGTTCATTTTACATGTTCTCTGCCCAAAACCTGGGGACAACGCCTTCTCTAAGGCACTTCGCTTACTTTTTAGCAGAATAATGGCATTTAAAGTAAGATCTATGACTACTTGGAAGGATCAGAGCTATATGAATGTACTCCAGAGTGTCACTTCTCTTGAAGGCTGCTACCCCAGTCTTAGTCCTCCATTTTTCCTGCCACACCCTGTTCCTTTAGTTTCTAGTTTAGGCTGCTTGTAATACTTTTGCTCAAATAGGCACGTTTTTCTTTTATATTTCCTTCTATGCAGGAAAACATAATCTAGCCTTTCTTTTATCCTTTTCATCTCTCAGTTAGCACAATGTGTTAGAAATCAATTGGGTAGAGTTTTTCATTTTTATAGCTGCTGTTGGGGATATATCTGCAGAGTGAAATACTAGCAGCAGGGTTGTAGAGTACAAAGGTAAATGTCTATGCCACTCAGTGAGGCATTGCCAGATTTTTTTTCCAGATTTTTTTTGCAGATCCTCCCAACTTCAATGGTATGAGCATACCTCATCATCATGATCTCAGGCACAATATGTTGGCATGGAAATTTACCATAATCTGATCTGTTACCTTAAGCAACAGACATTTTGTAAATCCCAGGTCTTCTCTGAACTAGTTATTTGATTTATTTTTACCATGCATACCTACTAAAACAAGTAAACCAGGCATGGTGGCACATACTTGTAGTCTCGGCACTTGGGAGGCTGAGGCAGGAGGATTGCTGCAAGTGCAAGGCCAGCCTGAACTACCTAGTGAGACCATCTCAAAGTAAAATAAAATACAAGAGTATTTTTAAATTATTAACTTTTTTTTTCATTCTAGGTCTCACTCCTATAGTCTATCTGACAGATGAATGCTATAATTTTTTGGCAATAAAATTTTGGATAGATCTTAATGAAGATATTGTTAAACATCACATGTTAATTGCTGCAAGCAACCTCCAGTGGCGACCAGAATCCTACTCTGCAATTCCTACTTTATTTGCTGTAGATTTTTCCATGTTTTCTGCCAGTCCAAAAGAGGGTCACTTTCAAGAAAGATTCAACAAGATGAAAAATATTGTTGAGGTAAAACTGTTTTTCATCATCATGATATAGTTTGGTGTTTTCCTACTTTGACAGAATCAAGAAATAGCTTAAGTTGGCTAGTTGTGGTAGTAAATAAAGGTGAAGTTTCGTCATCTGTCAGTTGCCTAGGAGATAAGGGAATAAGGGGATGACAGCTGTCAGCTTGAACAGAATGACTTGAAGGAAATTAGGTTAAGAGAAATTGTGAAAAGGACAGTCAGAGATACAGACCATGGAAGCAAACTTGAGTATGAGAAACAAGAGTATGAGTCACCTGTGGCTAACAGCAGTTGGCAGTGTTATTAGTTGTAAGCTAGTAGGAATATCTAATATCTTGTAACATTTATGCCTCTTTGATTTGAATGAATATATTATTAATCTTAAATAGAATACACTAAAATTATTTGCCTTGGATTACACATACACATTTTCATATATATATATATATATATATATATATATATTTGTGCTCCCAGGGTTTTGGGGGTTTTTATCCTCTATTTATTTATTTGGTACAGGGTCTTGCTATGCAGCTTGGACTTACAGTGAAGCCTCCTGTCTCAGCCTCCCCAGTGCTGGGATTACAGGGGTGTGACCACGCCCAGTTTCAGTGACCAGCACAACATGTGGTACCGGGGACCAAACCTGGCTCCTTGCACTTGCCAGGCAGGTGCTTAGAACACCAAGCTATCTCCCCAGACCCCATGCCCCATGTTTTTAAAGCTTGGCTCAGAGCTATGAGGTTACACGATGAAGTTAGCATCTGGGGATGTAGCTCAGGGGCACAGCACCTGCCTGGCAAACGTGAGGTCCTGAGTTCAATTCCTAGTACCCAAAACAAAAAATTTTATCTATACACACGATGAAGTTAGCTGCTCTTTGTCAACTTGCTCATATTTCACCAGTTGTGGCTCCTTAAAGACCAGTTCTGTGTAGATCAACCTTTATATTTGAGTTAATACATGGGACAAATGTGATGTGTGAGGCAGTTCTTTGATTTTAATGCCCTACAAAGCACTCCAGGACTGTGATGGCTTCCTGCTATTAGATAGTACATGGAACTAGCATGTAAGCCCCAGTCTTACTCATATCATGATACCTTGCCATTTGGCCAGATGACTGGAGAAATCTCTTACATCTCTTTCCTTCACACATACAATCCCCCTACTCCTCCTTCCTCAGCACCTTCCTCCAGCTAGGTTCCCCTAAATCAGTGGTGTTAGTTTTGCATTTCTGCATTGGCATGTTTGACAGCTGCTGTCAACTTCAGAATATCTCATTTGTTCTATCTAAATGTTTTAATTCTAATCTTAAAGAAGTACTACCTGAAAACATGTATGTGGTTGCAACTTACAAAGGCAGTTTTCCAATTATTTTCTTAGGATTTTGACACATTTTGCAATGATGCAGCAAAGAAGCTCACACAGTTGCTCAGTGTACCTGATCCCAGGTGGCCCACCCCGTCCAAAGACTGCACAACAGCACCACACACTGCTCAGATCACTGGGACCAAGAGCCTGGTAAGTTAATGTAAATTTAAGAAATGTTACATATGGAGGAAACAAGTATAGTATGCAGTTAGCAAACATGGTAAATTTATCACCTGGTAAAATGTGATAAATTAATTAGAAGTGGTGGTTAGTTGTTATGTAGCTACTATAGGTTATAATATTTGGAAACTGTATCTTATTTATAGAAGCAAGAATGTAAGCCCTTGAGGACACACTTTACAACAAATGCTTTCCCTTTTAGCCGTCTAAATACACATGATTGAAAAATCCTTTTTTGCCTATTGCTTTTTTCCATTCCATTGGAGTTGAGTTTTACTCATTAAATCACAGAGGATTTAGGGCTGAGGATGTATCTCAGTGGCACAGCACCTGCATAGCAAGTTTGAGGTCCTGAGTTCAATTCTCAGGACTCCCATCCCCCCAAAAAATCACAGAGGATTCAAATCAAATGAAAGTCTGTGCTATTGCTAAAGCAGATAGCTACCACTTGGTAAGTGAAACACAACAACTATGAAAACTGTTCTCATTGATAAGACTGTGGTATAAAGAGGTTCAATAATTAATTTGTGGGGCATGGCATGAGACTTCAAGCCAGTAATCCCAGCACCTGGAAGGCTAGGACAGGAGAATTGCCATGGATTTTAGGCCAGCCTAGGCTACACACTTGAGTTCAAGGCCAGGCTGACTACATAGTGAGACCCTGTGGCCAAAAAGAAAAAAAAAATTACCTGAAGTCACAAAGCTAAAAATGTAGGCATTAGAACTCAGGCAGTGTGTGTGTTCTTAAGATCATTTTAAAATAACTTTTTGTTTGGCCTGTTAATGATGTTTTAAAGAATATGCCTAAGTGATGTCAACTTTTTTTGTCTTTCACTATGTTATTCCTCATCTCTATCTCATGTCATTTTTATATGCTTTTATGCAAAATTATTTCCTTCTGAAACAGGAATAATAACATAAATATTTCTTGAACACATCTAATTTGTTAGCAGTTGGATAAATATCTGTGCTATTTGTGTGATTTTTTTTTTAGTGAAAAGTTAATTTGATATTTTTACACTAGTCATATTATAATAGGTTACTTTTTTACTTTGTTTTATTAGATGTCTCCTCCTAGTAGTGAGATAAATTATCAAAGTCCTTTATCACTTTGTTCGCCAAAAGGCAAGTCTGTGTCCACACCCATATCAGTCCAAATAACTTCAAAGTCTTGTGAAGGGGAAAAAGCAATAAATGACCCAAAAAACTGCAAAAAGAGAAGAGCTCTGGATTTCCTGAGTCGAGTGCCTGTACCGCCACCTGTGAGTCCCATTTGTACATTTGTTTCCCCGGCTGCACAGAAGGCCTTCCAGCCACCACGGATTTGTGGCATGAAGTGTGAAACACCTAAAAAGAAAAAGAAATTGAATTTTCCTCAGCTGACTCCACTTAAAAAAAACAGTGAAGTTTCTCTTCTGGAAAGCAACTCAATAGCTGATGAAGAACTTGCAGTAATAAATACCCAAGCCCTCTTGTCTGATTCTGCAGGAGAAAATCATCTTCCCTCTATCAGTGAATCCAGGAAGACTGCTCCTTCCAGTTCAGAAGATTACCTTGGACAGAAGAGCCATTGTACTGTGTCTTTGGTCAAAGAGCAAGAGAATTCCCAAGCCAGCACAGAAGAACGTAAGAGCAACTTGCAGGACACAAGTAGGACAAAGAATTTATCTAAGAGATTGCAACGGCAACAAAAACATAAACAGCAGTAGTTACTAACTCTTAACCTTTCCCGTGTGTAGTACAATTTCAAACTGCCTTCCATATTTGCCTAACAAGAGAAGCCATGACTAATAGTTTCACATTTGCCTATTTGCGTATCACAGATGTTCTTTGCCTGATTGTTTCAACTGTATGTCTTAAAACTGTACATTAATAATCAAAAAACATTTAAATCTTGCATTGGATTTGATCATAAGAAATATTAGTTTATAAATATACTCCTTTACAGTGTATCACTAATTGAAACGAAGTTTTTAAGTATAGATATTTTCACTCAGATAATTCCTTTCAGTTTAGTTCCTATTTTAGGAGTTTTTTCACAGTAACTTCCTATGAAAATTTTCCTTAATGTATGCATTGGTTTCTGCTATAGTTGCAGCCTGCTCAAAAGTCAGGAGAAGTGCAGATATTACAGTGGGGTTTCTTCTGGCTGCTGCTTTACTGTTAGGTCAACACGATACAAGAAAATAGAACACTCAGGGTTGCTCTGTATGATCCCAGTGTAATCTCTGAAATTACTTCAAATAAAAATTCAAATTTTTTCAGTCAGAAGTAGACTAGATAACTTTTTAAAGCAAACCGGTCATCCATTCTGGAACTTCAGAAGCTTGCTTTCACATTGGTTTTAACTTAACTGCTTTGTCTTTAGCAGTATCATAGGACTTGGACTGTACTGCCTGTTAAACCCACCACCAAATCAGAAGTAACATTTACTTTCTTATGTTTATCTCTAATAAAGAGATAAAGTTCTAAGAGCTACATAATGGCATAAGGAAGCTCTTAAACCAGGTGTTTTAGTCTTCAATTCTAATTATAGACACATTTCAAAGCCAAGAATAAATCCTTTTGTGTTTGGTTTGGATTTCGTTTCATTTTGTTTCATTTGGTTTTGTTGAGACAAGTGTCTTGCTGTATATAGTTTAGGCTGGCCTTAAACTTGCAGTAATCCTTGTACCTCAGGCTCCTGAGCACTGGGATTACAGGTCTGCACTACCAGGTCCTGCCAGAAGAATAAATCCTTTTTAAAATCAATTTGTGGGGCTGGTGAGATGGCTCAGTGGTCTAAAGCACCTATTTAGAACAAGCTTAGCAAAGCACAGGGACCGCAGTTCACTCCCCCAGCACCACATGCCAGCCAGCCCCTCCCCCTGGTGGGCTGAGCTGGCCACACACACACACACACACATAAATAAAATTTTTTAAAAAATTAAAATTAAAATAAAATAAAATCAATTTGTGAAGCTTGGTATGGTAGTACATACCTATAACCCCAGCGCTATGTGGGAGACTAAAACAGGAAGATTATAAATTTAAGCCCAGCCTACACAATGTAAGTGATTCGGTGAGACCTGTGTCAAAGAATAAAAAAGAACTGGGGATTATAGCTAATTGCATAAGCCCTGGGTTCAGTTGCCAGTTCAGTTTCAAAGAATTTTAACTTGTGGGCTGATGGTGTAGCTCAGCGTATCTGTGTTCCATCCCCAGCACCACCACCAAAAACAAGTTTCCTCTTAACTGGGATCCATGATTTATCCATGATCACACTTCCAGAAATTATTAACATCAATTCTGTTATTTTTAAGTGTTCTGGTAGTCTTGTTCCAACTTGTATTGTTCATAAAACAATAAGGCCTTTACATCTTAAATTTTTTCAGTGTTCTATTCTAGAACAGAGAATAAAACTGGAGTCTCACATGAACAAGAATTCTGTCTTCAAGGATTTAACCTTTATTTTTGGATCCTAGAAATACCTGCTCTCACCTCCTCTCTTCTCATTCAGACCACCTATTATAAAGATATCTAAAGCATGATTCCTTTTTATGAATTATAAACAACATCCGAACTACAGAAACAAAATGTAAAGCTTGAGTATATATGTACAATACCCTTCCAGAAATGACAATACGTAGAAAGTTGTCAGTGTATACTGGATGCCAAGGATAAGTGCTAAAAAGTTTGTGTTACATATTCAACAGTCACTTAACCAGAGCATATTGTATTTACAGAACACTTGCTGGCTCTGAATTATGCAAGTAGTAACACAAAGTAATGCAAATCAGTGTAAGGTATTCGAAAGATGATACAAATCAGAAGCCATGGGAGTTGAAAACCAGATCACTTCTAACTGGGAGAAGGTTGGTGGCATTTAGGTATTTCTACCTAAACAAGTGTGTCAGAGGTGATCTAGAAGAAGAGACATCAGTGGGCCAGGAATCTCTGCACGCTGTAGAAAAGCTCTGGATCCGAAGCCCAGAGCCACTCGGTGACGATCATCTCCTCAGCCCCTATGAGCCCAAACCCCAGAGGGCCAGTCATCCGAGTCAGGAGTTCTTGAGTTTGGCCCTTTGGGCTACTCCTGTGGACTTGAAGGTAATTCCTTCTACTAACATAGATAAAGCTATCCTTTTTGAGCTGGTTCTGCAGTAACTACATTGACTAAAATACCCAGGATAAGCGGAACCTGAAAAGTAGGACTATTACTAAGTAGGAATGTTGTTATAACAGGATTACTGTGTGCTGCACTTAAATAGAATTTTTTAAACTACAACAAGCTTAGATTCATTCAAATGTACTACTTTGTCTGTTAGCCAAGCTTTGTTACTCAATGGATATGCCAGTTTTTTAAATGCTAACAAAACAATTACAAATACATTGCTGTTAGGATGTTGAGTAGATTTCCACAGTGTTAGATTTAAAATAGTATTTTTTAATGTTTTGAGGCAGGGTCTCCACCCTATAGCTCAGGCTGATCCTCTTGCCTCAGTCTCCTAAATGCTAGGATTCCAGGTGTGCACCACCGTACCAGATAGAATTTCTAATGTGTGTGGATTTATATAAGGAAAAAAACACCAACTTTTTTTGTCTTTACATTTATGGCTGTTATTAGACTAGTAAATAAGTTATGATATAAAAAAATTGGTTATGAGATTATTGAATTCTTTGGGATTTAGGTAAATTTATTGAACAAAAAAATTCAGTGACAAATCCATATAAACTCAATACCATATACAATTTATAATAACCATAAAAGCACCATTATATAAGACACTTAAAATAATTCACAGAACATTAGAAAGAAGCTGTTGGCTAACAATAAATAGAGCATACATCCTGTGCGCTTGTCCATCATGGTCTCATACCAAATCTGATCTTAAATGCTAGGATTTAACTTGGATTCTTCTATTCACTATCGATATTAGACATTCCAGAGTTGTGTAGAAGTTTACTGTCTCAAATGATGTCATGTAACACACTAAGACTGCAGTGTCTTCCAGTAAGCATGGCTGTGCATACTCATCTTTATCCTAGGCTGCTTAATTCCTTGCATTCCCACCAAATATTTTGGCTGCCAAGTAATTACATTTATAGGCATGATTTTAAAAATTGTTCATTTCTCTTACAATTATTTTATGACAGCAAGTTAATTTTATTTATACAATTAAACAACAGACAAAAATTTAATACTGTTTAATAAAGTAAACACAATGCATGACAATGACACTGATTTTCCTAAGTCACTTGTATAGCTATCACAGTTCCACAGACATTTTAACAGTGATAGATCATTAAAATAAAGGAATAACTTCCCAAAGGGTCTCCTTTGAAGGATAGTATTCCCTTATATGTAAACTTTCTAGCCATTTTAAAAGAAAATCAGTATCATTAATGACATATCTCACGTTTTTGGATACATAGATTACCAAGTAGCAATGGCACTACATTTTGTACCTCTTGCCTCTACCCCACCTTTCTCGCTTTCCTGGTAAGAGATGAAACTTTTGAAAAAATAAATGGATTCATAATATGGTACTGAAATTTTTGTATAATATAGACACTTTCATGTGTGAACCTATTTGACTAATTGCTTATGGTCTTGGATTTCAGTTTCAAATGTATTCTCTCCCTAGAGAAAGACTTTAATCAAATCTGCAAAATGCCCAGCATCAGACCACACACACAAGTGCTCTTTAAAAGTTCTTGTTGATGATAATGAATATAGTGACCTCTGCTCAGAAACTTTGGGGTTTAACTATTTACACTGGAATCAGACCTCTGCCAAAATTGAACAAACAATAAATACCAAAAGTTGAAGTAAAAACTTATTTAGGAAAATTCTGAATGGCTGTAAAGATAGGCCTCTAATATCCATGGTGACAGCGGCCCCTTCTGCTAAAAGAGCTCTCATTTGTAAAGCTGCCATGAGCCCTCCGGTTTGGAAACTCTGTGTAGGAATTCCAGTATCTTGCACCATTGGAAGGTGATGCATTATTCCTGTCCTGGTTTCTGTTCATTCTGCTTGGTTTTTCTGCGTGAAGTACACTGTGAAAGGTAACATTATGTTCATACCCTTCTTTCATTCGGTGTATTTTTTCTCTTGGGACCCCATGAGTGTTTCTTCTATATGGAAAATAAACCATAAACATTTAGTTAAAGCAAAAATATCCAAATGTTTTACTTATTGCATTGTATAAACACAACACGCTCTTCCTCAAGATATTACTGGCAAAAGCATATCTTGCTATTCCATTATCTTTCAGGCTGTATTCCTGTTTTTCGTGCTGCCCTGCATGCCTTTAGGCTACCCTGAAACTAGCTTCAAAAATGCTTTGCTTATGGTAATGTCAATTATATGCTTCAAAACATGAAATGACACCATGAGAATTTTAAAGTCACCTATTTGCTTGTTAATGAAATGCATATATCTAGCATCAATTCAAGCTTACCAGTCCCTAAGACTGCTAAGAGATGCTTATTAAAACAATCTTAAACTCTTAACAGACAGAACTATCAACTGAGAATATAGTTAGAAATATGTTTACCAAAGAGTTCAACAATAGAATGGAGTCCATGTCTACAATTTTTTTTTTCATGTTCTACAATTTAACAACCACCTGAGAGATCCTGCCAGGATGATCCACAGACCCTCTTTGGAGACACTATCTGCTTATAATCATAAGATGAACTACCCTTACTCCTAAAAAGTAAATTCTAGTTTCACTGATTAAGGCATTGACATTAACATCAGATAACAGAGACTCACTATCAGAACTCATGCACTCAAAACCAAGTTAATATTATTTGGACATTTATTGCTTTATAAATTAGAAGCAGCATCTAAACCATAAACAAACCACATACTGTTCAGCATTTAAAGATCCTTATTTAGTCTAAATGCAAAAACACCATTGGCATGTGCAGTCTCATGCAGAGGAAAGTGCTTTTAGATGCTCATTAATGAAGAAGCAATTTAGTAAAATGTTAAATGTGCTCTTTTAAAGGACCAAGTTCAAGCTGAGATTTAGCATTTAGCATTATATTAGAAAACTGACCCAAAACTAAAGTCTTCACATTAATAATTGCAAAGTTACCAATTTCCAAGAATTACCATTTCTGGCCTGAAAACTACCAGTCCATTTCCAGCCTGAACAGATTCTTTTGTTCGGTCTGAAATACCTGAAAATAGCAGGATACATAATGAGGAACTAGAAAAACAAAGAAGTACCTTGCTAACTCTTGAACGTTGAATTTCCAGCGAGTGTCAGGTTCTCGGAATATAACTTCATAGTTATTTTCAAGTGCCTGATTTTTCAAAAGTACATAAAACATTGAAGACATAGTACAAATGTTTGGGAATGTTTATGCTGCCATTTAACATTTACTACAAAGTTTTCCTAAAGTTTTTGTTTTACCAGTAATCCAATGTCTTAATTTATTGTAGTGCAGTTAGTTCTTTCTCATACTTAGCCACTCTCAGATTAAAACTGGGGATGTTAACTTTTGGTCAGTTTCATCCAGCATGTAGAAATTGAACATCTTTACAAATTCATTACTGAACTAGTTTACCTCAAATGCAGGTGGAGCAGCAAACTCTGAGTTCTCAAAGTCCTATTATGCTTGTCACAGATTTGTCAAATGCTTTGTTCTAGTCCTCAAGCCTTGATTTAGAAAGTAAGAGCGCCACAGAAACATGGTTTATGAAATAGAAGTGATTTCCATATTTTATGTAATCATCCCTCCAGAAGTAGCACTAGCTGCTATGCAGTAGACTGACTGTATTACACCCAGTTGCCTTGAGTAAGGAAAACAATCACAGTCCTCATACAAACATCCAAATATTATTTGCACCCATAAATTGAATCTGCTTTATCTCACACAACTTTCTATTATTACTTTTGTTTACTGTGTTACAAAATAAGAATGAGAAGAGCTAAGTAAAAAGATTTTCTCATAAATAGATAGGATAAGCAAGTTCTGATGTACTATTATACAGACAATTGATTATAGTTCACGTTGGATCCAAAAAATCAAAATAGCTAGAAGAGGATTTTGAATGTTCTCATCACAAAGAAATGACAAATGTTTGAGGTAATGGACAACCAAAATATCCTGAATTGACCAGCACATTGTAAACATATACTGAAACAATTTTCAGTTAATAACATTTTTTTAATGTTAAGAAATTCCCTCTTTGTTCTTTGGTTAAGCACTTCTAATTAGTGAAGGATCCAAATATATGAAAACATCTATTTCTGAGCCTAATTAATAGCTGCAAGTGGCTAAAAAGGCTGGCCTTGAACTTGCAATGATCCTCCTGCCTCAGCCTCCCAGTACTGGGATTACAGGTGTGTGCTACCACGCCCATCTTATTTGCTTTTTTTTTTTGTAAAGGGGATTGAACTCTGGACCTTGAGCTTGCCAAGCAGGTGCATATGGTGCTGAGCTATCTCCCTGGCCTAGCTAATCCCTAACTCTTGTTTTGAGATGTGCATGAACTCATGCACCTCTTCATGGCCCTCTTCATTTCTCACCCATGGGACATCTCAATCATGAACTGAAATAAACAGAGTTGATGTTTATTCTTTCTTATACTCATCCAAGTCCCATAGTCTGGACCTAAGTACTGTAGAACTGATAAAAGTATTACTAAAGAAGAGCACACCTGTAGGTATGCTACTTTTGCCCAAAATGTAAAAAGAAGCCTAAATATACACTGAGATGAGTCCAGGGTGTGTTATACTCACTTTACAATTACCAGTGGGAATTATTGGTGATACAAGTAGAAGCTGTGTACTTCCTTTCCTACCTTGTGTGCTGGTGGGTGTTTCTCCTTTCTATACCCAACAGAAAATGAAAAGTTATTAAAGAAGACAAAATATGTCTGGAGAAAAAAGGCACCTTAAGTCTTACCTGAACGGGGTTCCATTTCTTTGGGGAACTGAGTTATATGTATATTTCTGTGCTACTACCTTAATAGGATTACAGTGGTAATCCTATTAAGATTACAGTGATAATCTTTAAATTATTTTTAAGTTAAAAGATTCTGTTGCTCTGGAATTCCCAGGTGACAGTGGTACCCAGTGTCATGAGTCCCTGCATCCCAGAGGAAGTTCTGGTATAAACCTGAAACCATGGTTGTGTATCAGTCCAAAATTTCCCTGCAAGTTTCAGTGGAACTCCTCTGTACAGAAAGTAACCAAGACTGGAAAGCAGTTAAGAATGCAGGCCCCCCCAAAAAATAATGCAGACCCACAACTGTTTACAAAGGAGAATTTAAAAATTGTACCTTGAGGTGAGATTAGTATTTTAGCAAATTACACCATTACATAGTAGAGGAACACTAAAATAGTTTCTTCACCTGCTCCCTTCAAGAACTGATAGTAAATATGAAGTCAAGGAAGACCAGGAAAAAAAGGAAAGAACAAATGTTTCAACTTTCTCACAAAATGTCCATAACTGAAAATTCAGAATGATACTTCTTCCTACCATGACTGCATAGGGCTTCATTTCCCAGGCGTGAAGGTTGGTATTATCAATAATAATGGGGGATATGCCATTCCTCATTGCTTTTCTTGCTGCAACACAATTTACATAACAGTGAACAACATGGAATAATCAGAAAAGGGTGAGTGTCATCCATAGTTTGTCATTTTTTTTTTATAGTGTGTCATTACACAATTTTAAAATGCCACCTTTTTGGAACCCATTATCAATAATTTTTTTCCCCAAGACTCTAAAGAGATTATGTGATGGAATTCTGCTGGGGGGAGGGAATGGTAGAACTTTTAATTAAGCTCATTCCATAAAAGTTACTTATTCTGAAGCAGCTAAAATCTATTTGCACAACAGGGTTTCCAAGGATTTTGGAAAGGAATTCATCACCTCTTTTCTGGTTCCATTCATGAGCTTCCTCCAAGAAGTCAGGATTGAACTCATAGGTACCATCTTCCCTGGCGAAAAAATCATCCGTGCTGAAAATCATGGCCATGGGAAAGTCATGCTGCAGTTGTCTGAAAGTGGAGAAATGAAAAAATGATTTTTAAGTTACATTTATAGTCGGGGTAGAAATGATTTCCTTCCACTTCTAACATTTACCAGTTTATAATTCTGAGACCATCAGGTTTTGAGTTGTTAAGCCTCAATTTTAAAAAGAAATGTTTATTATGTCTGAAAGGCATTGCTCTCAACAGGAGGCAGAAGAGAGCAGGGAAATGGCTGTGTGTGTTGTCAGCCCTTAAAACTGAGAGCCTGCTGGTCTGCCACTGGCTTCTGCAGCAAACAAGGCTGACTGAAGATAAAACTCTGAGACCATGTTGCGGGTGTGGTGTCTGTCTTTCCTGCTGGACACCCCAGGACCATTCCTTTCCAAGATACAGTGCCCTCTGGACACCTGCCCCCGGGTACCATGCCCCATGCTGCAGCCCTTCCCTTGGCCCCTAAACTCTTACCTGTCCTGGGACCCATTTCCGTGGAGCTCTGTTCTCTGTAAAGACCCATCTGAGAAACTAGTTCTTGCTGAAGTATGAAATGTGGGCAAAGATGATGTGTGATGTGTGTGTAACATATTTTACATTTTAACAGTAACCTAGACCAAATGGAAAAAAGCACAAGAGAAAGAAAGAAGTGAACCCAGTATTCCCAGTGCCTTTCTAGGAAAAGGAAAAACCATGTAGGTATCTCCTTTAAAGGAACAAATCATAAAAGAGGTTTTAAGTCTCTATAAAAAAAGACCTCAAAGAAATGAGACAAAGAATTAAGATGAGTTATATACATGTACCAACTCCCACAGTGCATATAATCCTTGCATACTGTAAATATATATTGATAATTTCTTTTAAAAGGGAAGACTTCCCATTTGAAATCCTTACAGCATCTGGTATAAGGTGGGGATTATGCCAGGAGTGCCAGGGGTGGTTGCTTCACTTCCTTTCCTCATCCATGAGAGGTGGTGCCAATGAATGGTAACAGAAGAGATGCCTAGCACAGCACCAGATACTAGCACAGCTAGCCTACACTCCTGCTCTTGGCCGCTCAATCCAGCTTCTACATGGATCCAACTGGCAACTGAAAATATATGACCAGATGGCCAGGGTCAGCATAGGACTATACTTACAACTTAGAGGGGAAAAGGGTTAGAGAATGGCAAAGGTAAGAAATGCAGTGAGGAAGCACAAAAATTTAACTCTCTTCCCTCCCCACCTTGTTCTTTTCCATTGAGAAGAAAGATCCTAATCCAGAAGAAACCTGGAGACACAAGTCACGAGAGATTTTCTGCCAGAGCCGGGTTCAGTTCTGGTCTCTTGCACTACCTATTGAGGTGCTCTTGTCTCTCTAACCTTGTTTTTCTAAAATGCAGATGACAATCCCTCCCTGACAAACAGGGCTGCTAAGACTCAGATGGTTCAAGGTATAGGAAAACATAAAAGGTAAGGCACTTTACAGATATAAATTACTGTTGTTTTGTTAATAATAACAAGCCACATTTACCCAACACTTACAGTTAATATTCCATGGTAATAAATTGCATGAAAGTGTGTATGTGAAATAAGCTTTAGAGCAATGCATTGGAGGGAGATGAAAGAACAAAATTGCCTTCATTTTTGAAAATGAATAAATTCACATTCCAGAAACTAAACAAACCTCTGCCAAAATCTTTCAGAAGGCATGACAGAAAGAGCTAAAAAAAATAAATCAAACACACTTCCTTTTTAATGGAAAACCAAAGGACATGGAATGTTGCTTTAAAGAGTAACCTGATAGTCTGTCTTGATACCCTTAGGAGCAAATGTAGGTCATGAGATAATATATTCTATTACCCAAAGTCTATTAGTTAATTAGCCCACCTATTAAATATTTATCGAGCACTTAACATAGCCAAGTATTACGTGAAGTGTTAAAGCACAAAAATAAAGTACTGTAGACATCTCTAAGAATTCACAGCCTTGCCAGGGCCCCACATAGCATGGCACAGTGGCGAAAGCTGTGGGGCAAGGCGCTCAGAGAACTCCAGGGCAGGAACAGGTTCTGATGAGGAAAGCACTGCCAAGGCGGCAACACCGCAGGAGAAATTTTGCCTCTTGTGGGACACGTTAAGAGAACCGGGAGGTAAGAAAAGGAAGAAGCAAATGTTTTTGACTTGTTAGGAATGAGACTTCAGGGGAAAACAGGAACAGAGTCATGAAGGGCTAAAAGTGGCAAAGCATATTTGAAACACTGGTTTCCATTCTAAGTGCCACAAATTTAAAGGGAAATTTGGCAAGCTGCAAGAAGTCCAGAGAAGGGTGACTAGTTAAACATAAGGACCACAGAACATGAAATGGTGTCAAAGAAACAAAGATCATGAAAGAAATGTGGGGTATTTGTAAGATGAAAACAAATAATAAAAATGATTCCTGATGGCTACCCTCAAACATTGGTAAGTCTGTTTGTGTACCAGAGGGAAACATCCTTTTTTGTTGTTGGTACCAGGGCCTCACTCTTGCCAGTGAACTTGTCCTGGAGTCAGCATTTTGACAAAGATCATTGGGCAGTTCTGGTGGTCTTGTCTGGAGTCAACCACACGGCTACAGTCATAGGACAAGTTAAGGAGGACAGAAAGGTGTAGCCAGGCCTCGTGACCTCTTTGGTGGTGCTGACCCCGGCCTCCTCACAGCACAGGAGAGCAGAATGGTATGAGGGGGTGCTGCTACACTCTGCACTTTATCTCCACAGCCAAGCACTGTCCTGGCCTTGCGGAAATGTCTTGATGGAAGTGGAGCAAAGATGTGGCAACTTTTATTTGACCACAGATACAGAATCCAGTATGTAAGAGGAAAAATAGAAAGATTGAAGGAAAGAGTCTTATAGTTTCCATAATAAATAGCTATTATTTGACCTTATCAATATTCAAACTAAAAGCTTCAGTCATAAATCTAAACCTTAACCTCCAATACAAGCAAATATTATAAAGACACCTTAGAAAAAATGTAAGGGAAGTAGTAGCTGCATGTGCAGGTACATATACAGTGGGTCCTCGAGTTACAACCCACCTTACATACAAACACTTTGAATTCCAATGAGAATTTTAGTTTTAAAAACCAAAGTCTAGTGTTATGACCCAAATGCTGGCCACTTGTGCTTCCAGATGGTCTGAGATACAGAGTTAACTGAAGGAGTACTGGAAGGAACACTACAACATCCTGTCCTGTACAGGGTTCATTGAGAAATACTGGGCCATTATCTCTAACAGCACTGAGATCTTCCTGTATACAGGAGAGACTTTGAAAGCTGTGTGGAGGAGCCTGAGCCTTCAGTGGACAGCCTGCATTACAACCTGCCTGCAGGAACGAATCCAGTTTGTAAGTCAAGGGTCCACTGTATTTTACTAGGCTTCCCCCCAAGTATGTACATTTCATATTCATGAACATAGTAACGTTGTAAAATTATTTCTGACAATAGTAATTCAGTCTAAATAATGGAAGCTATGTTCAGAGGTGAAATAATAGTGTATAATTTTTTTTCGTAGCTTATTGTAACAAACAACTATGGAAACTGATTCCAATATTTTTGTGTATGTGGTCCACATTTGATATTCCTTCTAAATCTAGTTTCATTTGTTTTCCTATTAAGTCCATACTTAAGGGTTTATTTTCAGAGTTGAATTTTTCTTTTCATATATATCTCTTTATCTTTTCTTTTCCTCTTTATGGCTTATACTCCAGCCTAGAAGTTAATACTCTCTATGTTCCCCTTAAAAATAGATATCCAACCATACTTTATTCCTCTCTAGAAAACAGAAATAAAACATAAACCTGCTGGGGGTTTTTTGTTTTTGTTTTTTTTAATGCAGAACCGGGAATTGAACTCAGGTCCTTGCGCTTGCCAGGGAAGCGCTTATTCCCCAGCCCTGCTGTTCTTTTTTTCATTAAAGATTTTACTATAGGGTAAAAGTTAAATTATTTAACACCATATGGGGCAAGACCTCTTTCTCATCACTTGCTAAGACAGACCCAACTGCCAGCTTCACAGACTCCTAACAAGCAGGCAGGTACAAACAAGAATGTTTTCACCTTTAGAGCTCTAATGCATTTCTTTCTTTTGTGGGTCCATATAATGTTCTGAGTGAACACCCTTTGGGGTTTATCTTCATCTAAATGTTAAATTAGCACCAGAAGCCATAATTCCATCTTGAAAAATACAGGACAATAAAATTTCCTCTAGCTAAATATAGAATTGATTAAATGGATAATCCAAAGATTCTCAGGGGCTGGGGAAATGGCTCAGTAGAATAAGTGCTTGCCTGGCAAGCTCAGGGTCCTGAGTTCAATCCCCAGTACTGCAAATAATAATAATAATAATAATAATAATAATAATAATAAATAAATAAAATAAAGAATCTCCAATTTAAATGGAAACAATAAATACCATTCCATCAGCTTTGGAAGTGATGAGGATAACGCCCCAGCTTTAGCTTTCTGTATGGTGGTCAGGAGCCTCATGCATTATGGAAATTGAAAGAATGAAAATAAAGGGAAAAAACAGACAGTTACTTCTACATATCCTTCATTTACCCCAGTTTCCTAGGTTCATTTAAAATCACTGTGAGAGGAACTCAGGTACTATCCTAGGTCTCTTATCATTTTTTCTGTAATTATTTAATAATAAAGATTCATATAGATATTATTTAGTTACTGGCTCATTCACTGAGAAAGTTCAACATTCCTATTTAATTTTGACTTAACTAGGGAAGTTTTCAAATATCTAAAGGTAGGTAAGATAATCAGTACTCACATAGCATGACCTAACTTCAGAAATTATCGGGGCTGGGGAGATAGCTCAGTAGGATAAGCGCTTGCTTGGCAAGTGCAAGAGCCTGAGTTCAATCCCCAGTTCCACAAAAAAAAAAAGGGAGAAATTATCATGAGGTGGCCAGTCTTCTTTCATCTACTTCATATTTCAATTCATCAGAATTTCTTGTCGGTCTCATTAACATTTTCCTAAAGTTTATTTGAATGAGGAATCAAGACTCACA